TACTTTTCAATAATCCAAACATCTTTAGAATATGATCACAACCAATAACAAATCATTTAAACTTGTTTATTCTTATCTTATGTTACCTAGTTAGCATTCTTTCTTTTTATTTATGCATATTTTACTAATCACTCCCCTTTCAAACAGTTTTTTTTTGTTTTTACACATTGGAATGATTTCTTACTTTATTTTTTACAATTATATTAAATAGATAAAGTTGTGCTCTCTCTCACTCGCTCTCTCTGTCTCGCTCGCTCACAGAGGCTGTGTGCTCCTCCGTGGCGATGACGGCTTGCGTTAAAAAAAAAAAAAAAAACATATTTGTAAAGTGGGGGGACACAAACGGGATTTCGAAAAGTGGGGGGGACATGTCCCCCCTGTCCCAGGTGGAAATTACGCCATGTGTTGGCAACCCCTGGTTTAGAGTATGGTGTCATAAAAACTGTGGTACATGGAAGCATAACATATTTGTTTCTCAAGGAGTGTAGAGTCAGGGCTGCAGATGGTAAAACCATTGGAAGCTGTCAACACTGTGGCATTGCTCTGCTGTTTCACTGTGTTTCTGTATACACCTGTCTCCCTTTCCCCGGCAATATCTTATTGCCATCCTTTGACCTACAAACAATGGGCTGTGTTTTGTTTACTTCTGCTCCATGGTTGCTGTACTATTTGGACTCACTTTCCCTTTGTTAAAAGACTTTTGGATTGGAGATACAGGATAATCCGCTATATCAAACAAGCTGGGACTGGGCCTCAAACTGACTCAACCTGTCCATCTCGGGAATTATGGAGGTGCCTGGCACAGTGCTTACGTTGAGCAACTCAGATCTTTATCCATATGGGCGAGTGTGTTTGCAAATCTTGGCCAAGCTCAACGATACACATGAGGCTTACTGCCAATATAAATATGATGCATCTGAAATCTGATTGCACGGCCTATATTTCAAGTAGATGGCTGATTTGTTGGTTGGCTTCCAAGGGTTTTGCTGATGCATTGTGTGATAGAGCTTTATTTATTTACCCTTTGTTCGACAACATGGATTTGGAGCTTTAGGAGGATTTGTGGGTTGGTTTGGAAATGTTGTTCCCGTTCAGAGAAAGGGTTCAATAAGTTAACAAAGAAATCCAGTTCACTTCAAATATTAGTGTCAATCTGCAACACCAAATTCATATGAATACAAAATCAATTAATAATTAAAGCCTGCAAGAATGCTAACAGTTCCACATGCATGAGTTGAGGTCAAACTAAAAGAAAGTGAAATAATAGTTCACGCTGTTCAATCACTCCACCATGTAACTGCTATCTTGAAGTAGAGCTGTGTGTGGTATAAAGCCAATAAGATAAACAAAGGCTGTCACATCCTCAAATAAAAAAAAATAGAAAATCCCACTATTCAAATGAAATATAAGGCCTTAGAATTCCTCTGTCTGGATATTTGGCATAACTGATTAAGGGACAAACTTTGGTCAGTGTCAGACAAGACGAGAAGCAATCAATAGGAGGAACTTGTTTTCACTCATCTCCTTGGGTGGCCAAAGTCAGACTTATTGAACATTTTAATTCTGAAATGAAAGATGACATGTCTGTACCATGTCTGTAATTTTAACGCCCAAAACAGATGGAATCTTGGCAATGGACAGGAGAGAGCAACAATCTAAACGTCATTATTTCTTTAATCTCTGTGCGGTTCAGGAATGCAGAATGCAGAGTGTTTACATAGCCAATTGGGGTTGTGTACTGTGTGGCTGTGCCATTTCCCACTGCTAAACGACTCAATATTGTACTGCTTATCAGACACAACAAGAAATACGTAAATATAAAGCAGTCTGTGCAAGGAAGCCCTGTTTCCCCCATCCGAGCTCACATATGCAAAAGCAATACCACCGTTCGGGTGGAAGGAAGGACATTGGGAGAGTTGGTGTCCCCAATCCCTGGTTATAAATTAGAACAGTGGCGAGCCGTGACCCCCCCCCCCCCCCCGAGCTTATGCTAATTAGCTACTTCCGCCTAGCTTGACCCGTTGTTATAACACACATACATACACTTCACAGCGGGCGGAACTTGTCATAAAGTCCTCGAAAATAAAGCCCACACATTTAGAGGGAAGATATGATTGGTCAATTGTACTGTCATTTGACATTACTCTCTCATTGAGTTACCCTAGCTGGCCCCCTGTGAATTTATAGCTGGACCACCAATCACCTCCTATCTTCAGTGACTCGCAGAGACGGCCTTTCATTTAACCCTTCACATTCCAACAGAAACTGAACAGGCAGATTCGAAGGATTTTTTTCTTTGGAAATGTTATTTTAAATACAATTAAATCAAGTTATTTTGGTAAAACTAATGAAAAATATAACAAAAAATATATATTAAAAAATAATATATATTTTTCAAATATTATTTTTTAGAATATCTTAGGCCCTCAGAGAGGGCCTAGAGGGCCCTGACGGCTCGCCACTGAATTAGAATGGGATGGGTGGATGAGCAGGATGTAGGGAGAGCGGCTGCCCTCATTACCTCGCTGGCAGAGGGACTGTTTGTTGACTGCTTTGCTGATAGGACAGGGCAGGGTGGTGCCCATTAGATGATGTTCTTTGATAGAAGTGGAACGTTGGAAAACAAACATTAAGTTGGATGATGATGAAACCAAAACACTGAGAGTCCACAGCCATGAAGCTCCGTGAGGAACTCCATGGTGCCTTCAGCTAAATGCTAACGCCAATATCTAACATGCAAACAATGGCAAATATTTGTTTTATCCATGTTCTGATCCTTTAGGCACATTACATTTGCTAAGTAGCACTAAACATAAAGTGCCAGAGACAGACTGACAAATGTTAGCTTTTTGCGGGTGTATCGTATCTGTATATATGATATACCTATAAGAAAAAATAAATTGTTTTACAGAAATTACAAATTCGACGTGAGATAATTTAGAAAAAGTAACAGTTTTTCCACCAGAGAGTATTGACAAATGAATATAAATGTCAAACGTTTAGCTAAGTGTGTATTATGGCCACTATATAATTGAGAAATCTAGAAGTTTTTGTTTTAAATTGCCAAATATCGATATCAGTATAAGCTCAAAAACACAGCTAAGATTTATGGGAACGTCAATTTATTTGGAATATTTTCTCAAAACAAACGGTTTGGATAAATGTTTCAGTTCATCTTCTAGGGGACATGAACGTGTTTACCAAATATCATGATATTCAATAAAATAGTTGTTTACATTTTAAAACCCACCAATGTTTACCCAGCTGTTGCTGTGAGGTAAAGTCTACCAATTGCATACCAATCAGAAGTTTTGGTGATTTAATTCCCAGGTCCCTTCGTCAATATCTTGGGAAGGATACCTACATTTGCCTTTGTATGAACATGGTTGCAAAGAGATGGAAAGCCCTATATAAATGCAGTCCATTTACCATTTAACACTAAATTAGCAGTAGCAGAAACATGAGGTGATCACCAAAGTCAATAAACTTCATCCTCTGGGGAACACAAATGTATACGCAAAAAATCCATGGAAATCAAGGCAATGGTTGTTGAGAGAAAAATATCTTAGCTATAGTGTGTGATCCATTAATGCAACATTGCTAGCATGGCTAAAAACCTGACCAAATTCATATTCCAGCCTTAGTGTCCTTTCAACCTTTCCATTATCACCTCACAATGTTGTTACCTGTAGTGAAACCTTCAGTGAAAGACAATGACATTAAAAGGGAGATAACATCAACATCATGTAATACATGGAGAAAAACTGTGATCCTTTTGGACATAAATCCATTTATTCTCAGTCATTTTTCAAGTAACAGCACTGCTCGAGGCAAACATAACAGAGACCTGTCCTAAAAGCAGCAGGACAGAGGGTATAAAGAGCCATTTCCCAGCCGCTCACTGAGAGACTGATTTAACATTCGCAGCAGTGGTTAGAAGAACTCACAGGGTCTCATGTCACCTCTCCTCTGGATCTATAAGCAGGCGTTTATGAATGATAATGACAATAATAATGGGACCTCTGTCTCCTGCTGAATATTAACTATACATCCACTGATCAAACATGCTCTGCACACTGGGCAGATTATTCAAAAGGCTCTATGATCATCCAGTCTGGTCTGTGCAATATACTGCTTGATCTGCTGTGTGCTGCATTCTGGGAAATGTCTGCTGCTTTTACCCACTTTTCTCCTGCCACCTGCCTCGATCTGCTTTTATGTACTGTGGGGATTTATGTGCTCTTATGTGCTCCCTCATGGTTCCTTATTCCCAGTGCAAGTCCAAAAAAACACCTGAAGGTGTTGTTTGTCACTATCAACTGTATTTAAAGTGTATTTAAAAAAAGAGAGTAATAGTATAGTGGTTTTCCTGGCTTTGTAAAATATGTTATCATTATTGGTTGACACAACTAAGATTGTACATGAGAACAATGCTAAAATAAACAATAAAATGACATAATTTGAAGTAAATACACTTTAAAAAATCAAGATATATATTTTAAATAAATAAATCCACAATAATAATAAGCAAAAAACATACATATAAACATATAAAACATAATTAAAACATAATTAAATTTGACAATGGTTCGAAAGTATCCTCATTTTCCATAAAATGCATACAGTGGAAAGCTGGCAGATATAATTAAAGGCCTCCTGTTTTACTTTAGGAAAGTCATTATTATCTTTATTAATCATTAGGCACATTTCATTTTTAAATATTGAGTCCAAATGTTCAGTCAGGTCACACAGTTCAAGATGCTTTGCCTTTTCCAAATCCCTCACACAGCCTGCCTCTGCTACAGAGCATCTAAGGAAATATAAGCTGTTAAACCATACACTGAAGTCTTTCGGAAATAACAACTTTAATTTATCTCAAAGCCCGATGTGAGAGTTTGATGCTGTGACCTCATTTCTTCCCACTCACAAGAAAAGCCTTTTCACAGAGTGCAACAAGAAGCATAGTACTAAAAGCCTTTTTCCTTTTCCATCCCAACCAGAGCTCTTCATCTTCAATGAGCTGTGCGCCCTGAAGGACGAGCCGGGGCCCTGCAAGGCCATTAAAGACCGATTCTTCTTCAATGTGGACACAGGAGGCTGTGAGCTGTTTGAATACGGAGGCTGTGGGGGCAACGAGAACAATTTTGAGACCTTGGAAGCATGTGAGGAAACATGCTTGGTCTCAGGTGAGTCTGACCCTTACATTAAAACATTCTTGTGACCATCTTCCCTTTAAGTCAACATATGGACCGTGAAAACTTAATTTGAATGGATACAAAAGGTTTATTTGTATATTGCAGTGTTGCATTGTTATATTGTTGCTTGCAAATGATCAGTTATGTTTTCAAGGACTGTAGTCATTAGATTTAATCACCACCTTGGGCGTACAAACCTATTACAGACTCATTCTGTTGGAATGCTGCTAAAATGGAAAATTGCCAGCACATTCATTTTTAACAGTTTATCTTAAGGCATGTAGTTAATGAAAAGTATGGCCACATTTAAGAGGGGCAGCCAGTCGTGTAATATTTATAGGTTGTGCATACTAAAGTTATAATAAATTGAAGTTTAGTTAAATTAGTACATCTAATGAGATGGTCTTTAAACCCTCTAATTTCCCAATTCTCATTGGAAAATTGATTGTAATGACTGTCAAACTGACCATGATAATATAAAACGCAAAATGACACCTCAACCCTTGTTATAACTTATATGGTAACCATAAGAAATGTGAAAGAGGCAAGGGTCAATTGGTCTTCTTAACAACATTATGACCTCATAATAAAAGATGGAAAACGTCCTCTTCTGATGCCATCAACAGCTTCTCGTCTGGTTGAATGTGAAAGTAAAATGTTCACTCACAATAGATCAACTATTTGCTAAGCCTTGCCATGCCTCAAGGGCTTTAAAAGTGCACTTAGCCTGGGGATAAGGCTCGAGGCGTAGAAAACTTTTAAGAATGGCACAATCCTGAAAATGGGCTAACCCAAATGTGTGCCCTGGGCTATCTGGCCCTGCTTGAGTTAAGGGTTATCCCCTAAAGTGTTTGGGCCTTTTGGTGTCACATAACTTAATCTGTAGTTATGTAGTTCCACCATTTGGCCACTACCAAATGTTGCTTGAATGACCAGCTCACTTATTTGGAGCTTCATTTGGGCTAGAAGTAGTGCAGTATGAATCATATAGCCCTGGGCTTTGGTTAGCCTTTACTTGACAACATGTTCGTAAAAAATGGCTTAAATTATCCCAGGGTCAAATTATGTAAACACATATTTCCAAGGCACTCCTTTATAATTATTAGGATAAATAAAAACAGGTTTGAAATCATTCCAATGTATACTATAGGACAGTAAACAAAAATATCGTTTAAAGTTGGAGAGATACAAAAATATGCATAAATAAATAAATGTTAAGGTAAAATAAGATATGAATGAACAACAAAAATAAAATACGTTACATTTATTTGTTATTGGCTATGGTAGGTTATTGGTTATGTTCACATACTTATTTGATTATTAAAATGTAAACCGATCTTTTTTATATGGGTGTTTTAGAGTTGTACCCCCTAGATCAGGTCTCTAGTAATTGTGTGCTCAAAATGCACCAGATTGAAGCATTTTACTTTAAAATGTTCAAAAAAATCTTCCCGGACCCCCCTAGAGGATGTGACGTCCACCCCCCAATTCAAACATGTTCATACAATACTGAATACATTTGAAGCCATTTTGACGTATATTACCTATGTCAATAAGTTTCTGTTTTTGTAATGTATTTGTCTTTTGTAGAGATTTTTCATTTATTCTTTATATATAAAATCTCGCCTAGGGCAGCAAATTGGCTAGAACCGGCCCTGGTACTAGGCCTCAAGAGCCTTTCTTGTGCTGGCAGACACATAGAAACAAATTGGCGGGGCGCACTTCGCACGCGCACACACTAAAGAATTCCACGCGCTCCGCGCTCACATTATGCCTTAACACCGCTGCTATGACTCCATCCTAGGGGAAACACTGACATTGTATACTTGACACTTTGTAAAAAGACTGAAGTGTCCATTAAATAAACATTCATCCCAACAAACAAGTAGTATTGGTTAAGTGAATGGGTTCAGCTAGTTGGTGGCTATTGGAAGGTTGGGTGCTAAGGCCAAGCTCAGTTGAACTAAACATACACATGTTGTAAGAGCTGTAAGGTTATGAGGCTATGTTGCCTGTTAACCCACAACATATTTTAGTAAGCTCTTGATTCTCCAACTTTTAGTTCTGTTCTATTGTCTATTGTGAGATGTTTATATTTTATAATTGTTTATTTATTGATCTTTTTTAATTCTAATTATGTGCAATTGCTTGTTGTTTATGCTGCTGTAACAAAACAACATCCCCATTTGTGATCATGAAAGTATATCTTGTCTTTTGTTATCTTATACAGTACGCAATCCCTTTGAATGACTTTGTTACAGAAGTTAAAAAAGCCAATTGGGCAATACTTTTAAACTAGTCTCATTTGGATTCCATGTACAACCAAGACTCCAAAGATTGAAACCTGGTAAAGTAAGGAAACAGGAAGCAGGAATCCACATTCTCCACATCAACAGATGGTCACCCAACACTGACATATGGTAATCCCTAATAACTACCAATACAATTTTTTATTGTGTACTTCGATTAGATAAAGTTGTAATTTGAAACAACTTATGTCAACCAAGTGCATAAACAAAGCAATACATAAGATCCAGGGGACGTATGGATGGTTGAATATGTTATAGACCTGTCTGTTCAATCTAGTCTCTTTGTATGTATGTAGAGAGGGGGGTGCATGCAACTACATCTTGAGATGAAAATACTGACTTGGGGTTGTTTTTTAAAGTTCAATTGGAGTGAAATGAAAAAGGGTAGCTAAAAATGATTCCCCCAGCTGGATTCTGGATGAATAGGGAGAAGAGCCAGGTAGTTCAAAGTTAGGCGGATGAAAACAGGATTATATTTATAACTCAGTTTCAGTTTATTTTCTCTCAAAACACCGATATGCCTGCCACACATATGTACTATTGCACATTTAAGATACATTCATTTACAATACGGTGTTGATATGGGTCCAGTTCTTTTAATTTGTTCTTTCAAATATTGTCATAAAGGGCTTATGTCAAAGAGAAAGAAAAAAAGACATCCATATGAATTAGCACATGTTTGGAAAACTTGACTGTAGCATCACCATCAATCAGAATCAGATTTAGAATACCTTATTTATCCTGTGGGAAATTGGGTTTTCTGACAGATGCTCCATTTTAGAACAAAATAAATAAAAGCTATAAATATATAATACAAATAATATATCTTAAAATCAAAACTAAGGGTATGAATGTTAAAAGAAATATTAAAAAATATAAAGATACTTATATAAATATAAGAAGTTCTTGTAAAATGTCCAATAAAATATTAAATAATAAAGCATAATTGTTATTATTGAATATATCATTGGCAAATACACCCAACACAAACAAATACATAATTGTAGCACTTTGAAAACTAATACACTACCACTAAGGCTTATTTATTGTATTTATTTGAGGCAAATATATCTGCATTTTTCTTGTTATAGGGTTGTTAGAGTTTTTACCTTGCTACCTTCACACAGAAAATAAATTAAATTAAATGTAGTTATGTGGCAGCCGTTTAAAATGTCTCTGGTGTTGTGCGATGTAAATGATGCACACTATATTGAAACATGCTGTTGTATAACCATGTTAGAGCAATTAGGGTTGACTGAAATCGAGGATTAAAGGTCACATGGAGTGATTTGACTGAAGTGCTAAAAGTTGAAATGAGAGAACATCTGACCTCAATCAATTGTTGAGTGCTGTCTTCACAATGCAGGGGTACATTGTGTTCCTCACTATAGTGCACTTAAGCCTTTCTAAGATGTCAGTAACACTGCTTCTCTTGAAAAGCAATCAAACTACAACACTTCTACCTTTCACTCCTGGGAGACAAGTTTTCCTGCGCTGGCTTGGTTCAAAAACACTTATTGGAGCTGAGTTGTGTAAAACACGACGTCCACAAAAGGAAATTAAATGAATGGCAGAAGAACACCTTTCTCTTTGACATAGCAGCTCCATGTAATAATATCTGTCATATAGGGCAGCAAACGACACACCTTTAAAACTCAAGGTTGTCCGATTAACTTGAAATATGTCCTTGCATGAAAGCGCTGACACATCCATCATAGTATTTCCACGGCGTGTTATTCTGCGCTGTGATAAAGTACTTTCTCCCACCAGCAAAGAATAACCTTCACCTCCTTATTGCATGCCACGCTGGCGATACATAACGCAGTCAGACAAGAGGATCATGCATGAATTTTGCGACCTGCGGGGCATTGGCATATGCAGCAGGTGCATCGATTTAACGTCCCGTTGTCTCCACACCAACAAATCTGCGCTGTAAAGATGAGTCTGCGCACACGTTACATTAAACTGTTTGGGCAGGAATATGAAGGTGAATGTCAGATATTAAAGCTGGTCTGAGTGTACAGACTTACTCATGAGTGGGAAACATGATGCTTTTTGAACATAAAGGAAATGACACTGCATTAAACGGAGCTATAAAAGGTTCATTTGTTCCATGGCATTTAAAGGGCACTTTCACAAAACACTTTTTATTGGTTTTCGGTTGGACAAAAAGGACAGGCATAACACCTATTAGTGGTTGCTTTTATCTAAATTGAATAGACCTCCATGAGTAGGTGTAACTTTTTTCCTGTGCTAGGAGGTGACTTTGGATTATTGGCCAAAGTCAAAACTAGAATGAAAGAGGTCCAAATTCAAACATAATTATTCTAAGCAGGTTTTGACGATGTACTGTAGTGAGTGCACAATGAAAACGTCACACACACACACACACACACACACACACACACACACACACACACACACACACACACACACACACACACACACACACACACACACTTGAACACTCAGTTGAGCTTGCGACTACACATTCTCATTGACAGATACATGCGATTTATGTTCTTTAGCACAAAAGCTTAGAAATGAGCCCACATAAGACAAAGAAGAAGGCAGAGAGAAAATGAACATAAATGTTAATGCAGTATTTAAAATCCATTGCAGTCAAATTCATGCCACACTTTTCTTGTCCGCCTTATTAAGACTAATTCATTTGATAATTAA